CATATACCCAAGGAATGTTCAATTATACCACAAGGGCGCATGCTCAGCTATGTTCATATGAGCATTGTTTGTAATAGCCAGAACCGGGAAACAACCTAGATGCCCTTCAACTGAAGAATGGATAAATAAAATGTGGTACATATATACAATGGAGTACTACTCAGCAGAGAAAAACAATGACATCATGAAGTTTGAAGGCAAATGGGTGGATCTAGAAAAAAATCATCCTGGAGTGAGGTAACCCAGTCTCTGAAAGACAAACATGGTATGTACTCACTCATAGGAAGATACTAGATGTAAAACAAAGGATGAATAGACTGCTGCTCAAGGGAGACTACCTAGAAAACAGGACCCTAAGAAAGACACATTGATCGCCCAGTGACAGAGAATTGGATGAGGGAAAGAGAGCTCAGGGGAGCAGGAGATCCCAGCTGGATCAAGAACAGAGAGGGAGAACAAGGAAAAAGAGACCATGATAAATGAAGATCCCATGGGAATAGGATGAAGCAAAGTGCTAAAGAGGTCCACAGAAATCCACAAACATACCTCCACAATAGACTACTGGCAATGAGCGAGAGACAGCCCCAACTGATCTACTCTGGTGATGGGATGGCCAAACACCCTAACTGTCATTCTAGAAATCTCAACCAACGACTGATGGAAGTGGATGCAGAGTTCCATTGCCAGGCCCCAGGTGGAGCTCTGGGAGTCCAATTGACGAGAAAGGAGGGACTGTAGGAGGGAGAATTGTTGAGACCAAGATTGGAAAAAACACAGGAACGAATACCCAAACTAGTGGAAACACATGAACTATGAACCAATGGCTGAGGAGCCCCCAACTGGATCAGGGCCTCTGGATAAGTGAGACAGTTGATTGGCTTGAACTGTTTGGGAAGCACCCAGGCAGTGGGACCGGGACATGTCCTTAGTGCATGAGCTGGCAGTTTGGAACCTGGGGCTTATACAGGGACACTTTGCTCAGCCTGGGAGGATGGGACTAGACCTGCCTGGACTGAATCTACCAGGTTGAGCTGAATCCCCAGGGGAGTCCTTGCCCTAGAGGAGAAGGGAATGGGGGGTGGGCTGAAGGGAGGGCGGAGGGACCACGGGAGGAGGGAGGACAGGTGAATCTGTGGCTAATATGTATTATTAAATCAAATTTAACAAAAAAAGCAACTTGAGGAGAAAAGAGTTCCTTTCATTTTACCCTTCGAGGTAACAGTCTATCAGTGACAAAATTCAGTACATGAATTCAAGAAATCTGGAGGCAAGATCTGAAGCAGAGAGCTCAATGGAATATTTGTTACTGAGTTGCTCAACCTAACTACTTAAACAAGTCAGGACCACTTGTCCCAGGATGGCACAATCCACACTGAGCTAGGCACACTCCCACCAATCTTTAATCAAGATAATGCCGATTTTCTGTAGAACTATATGATGGAGGCATTTTGACAATTGAAGTCCCCTGTACACAGATGACCCAAGCTAGTGTAGTTCACAAAATATTAACCAGTACAGTTGTTTAAAAGTCACCCAATATATGGTACTTTGTAAAAAACAAAGAAACAAAAACTGTAAATAGATTGATACAACATATAAGAAGAAAAAGAATAAATATCAGACCCCTTTATCTTACTGACTAGTATATATGAATAGAACAATTTGCATTTCTTTTTAATAATTTTTAAACTTTCATAAAATATAGGTTAATTAAATTATAAGGTCTAGTTGAGGCAAGCCTAACTGCTGTCATAATTAATAAGAAGTCTCTTGTCATTATTTGGGAGTTGGTTAGTGGGAAAGTAAAGACTTGGTACATGTGGCATCCAACATTGTGCATTTGGTGTAACAAATATTTAAATTGTCCCAGTATATAAAAAAGAATCTCAGGAGTCAGAAATTGAGATAAAGGCCTGATAATCCAAGGAAATCAAAAAGATGACTAGCTCACCCTCTCTTATTTCCCAATCCACCTCTTAAGAAAATTCACCTGTAATCCTACTCTTCTTTCTATCTGTCCTCTTGAGTAGACCCTTCTGTCCTCCAGGAACTCTGTGGCTAATCCCAGTCAGCCAGTCAGTGACTCCATCCTTTAATTCTTTATCAATGTTAAACTAACATGAGATAAACAGTTTAAATAAAACTTAAGGAAATAGAAGCAGTGATTAAAAGTTTTCCAACCAAACAAAGCCC